AGTCCCTTTAACATTTCATATAATAAGGGCTTGGCGATGATGAACTCCTTGAATTTGATCTTATCTGAGAAGCACCTTATCTGTCCTTCCATTTTAAATGAAAGTTTTGCTGGATAGAGCAATCTTGGTTGTAGGTCTTTAGATTTCATGACTTGGAATACCTCTTTCCAGCCCCTTCTTGCCTGTAAGGTCTCTTTTGAGAAATCAGCTGACAGTCTGATGGGGACTCCTTTGTAGGTGACTGTCCCCTTAGCTCTTGCTGCTTCTAGGATTCTCTCCTTCATTTTTATCTTGGCTAATGTAATTATGATGTGCCTTGGTGTGTTCCTTCTTGGGTCCAACTTCTTTGGTACTCTCTGAGCTTCCTGGATTTCCTGGAAGTCTATTTCCCTTTGCCAGATTGGGGGAAATTCTCCTTTATTATTTGTTCAAATAAGTTTTCCACTGGTGGCTGTGCCTTTCCCCCTTCTGGTACCCCTATAATTCGGATGTTGGAGCGTTTAAAGATGTCCTGGAGGTTCCTAAGACTCTCCTCATTTCTTTGAATTCTTGCTTCTTGACTCTTTTCTGTTTGGCCATTATTTGCTTTCTTCTGGTCCACTCCATTGATTTGAGTCCCAGTTTCCTTTTCATTGCTATTGGTGTCCTGTGCAATTCCATTCATTTCAATTAGTTTCGCCTTCATATATTTGTCTAATTTGTCCGTATAATCAACCAGTTCTGTGAGGATCTTGATAACCAATGTTTTAAACTGTGCGTCTGTGAGATTTGCTATTTCTTCATCGCTTAGATTTATTTCTGGGGCTCTGAGATCCTCCTGCGCCATTCTTGGTCTGTTCGGGGCCCTTTAAGAAGCGGCGCCTTGGATTCCCAGGTCGCTGGGTTGTGACGCTGTATGTGGGGGCGTGGTCAGAGCGGGAAATGGCGACCCCCTCTGCCGCTTCTCACAGCTGGGTGCGGAGGAGCAGTGCCTTAGGTGGTTCACCTGGGCCGGGCCGCTCAGAGTCGCTGGGTTATGACGCTGTATGTGGAGGTGGGGTCAGAGCAGGGAAATGGCGGCGCCCTCCACTGCCGCTTGCCGTGGGGACCTGCCGGCCCGGTCCAATCGCCCACTCCCTCGCCTGTCCACCCTCGCACAAATGCGCGACCTCAGTCAACACGCAGCCCCGGCCCGGCTGTCTCCCCCGCGGTCGCTCGCCTGGTCGCTCGTGCGGTCGCTCACTGGGTCCAACCCTGCGCCTGGATTCCGCACCTGAGCCCGACTGACCGAGTTTTCCCTGTGCAACCCCTGCTCCGCCAGCCGCTGGTTTCGCCCCTTACCGGTCAGGCTGAAGAATTTGTTGTTAACGGACTTCCGAAAAGTTCAATTTTCCGTGTTCTGGCTGTGTTTTCTGTTGCTAATATTTAGTTTTCTCTAATCTTGGTTGTGTGAGAAGGCACGGCACATCCACCTATGCCTCCATCTTGGCGGAAGTCCTCACTTGCTGTTTTTAAGATCCTCTCTTTATCTTTAATCTTGGGTAATGTAATTATGGTGTGCTTTGGTCTGTTCCTCTTTGGGTCCAACTTCTTTGGGACTCTCTGAGCTTCCTGGACTTCCTGAAAGTCTATTTCTTTTGCTAGATTGGGGAAGTTCTCTTTCATTATTTGTTCATATAAGTTTTCAATTTATTGTTCTTCCTCTTTTCCTTCTGGCACCCCTATGATTTGGATGTTGGAATGTTTAAAGTTGTCCCAGAAGTTCCCAAGCCTCTCATTTTTTTTGAATTCTTATTTCTTCATTCTGTTCTAGTTGATTATTTATTCCTTCTGCTCCAAGCCATTGATTTGAGTCTGGGTTTCCTTCCCATCACTGTTGGTTCCCCATTAATTTTCCTTTATTTCACATTTTTTAGCCTTTATTTCTTCCTCTAGTTTGTGACCTTACTCAACCAATTCTGTGAGCATCCTGCTTACCAGTGTTTTGAACTGTGCATCTAATAGGTTGGCTAGTTCTTCATTGCTTAGGGTTTTGGGGTTGTTGTTTTTTTTTTGAGCTTTGATCTGTTCTTTCATTTGGGCCATTTATTTTTTTTTGTCTGGGTGCATTTGTTACATATAAGGGGTGGAGCTCTGGGTTTTCACCTGGGCGGGGCAACCCTTGTCGCTGGGTTGTGATGCTGTATGTGGGGGAGGGGTCCTAGAGGGAACAGTGCTACTTGCTCCACTGCCAGTTTTTAGTCACTTCCCCTGCTGCCCACAGTCAAATTGGGCCCTTCTGATCCTGATTCCCATGTGGGTGGGTTTTTGTACATTCTAGGACTCTGTGGGTCTCTCCAATGAATCCTCCTGTGAGTCTTGGAGGTTCTCCTGCTGCCTCAGTCCCCACAGGTGTTTTCAGTCAGAGGCTTTGAGTCTTTATTTCCCAGTACTGAAACCCTGGGTTGCTTGGTCTATCTCACTACCCAGTTGTTCTTCCCAGTTTATCTGCACTTGAATGTGGGACTGCCCAGTCTTTGAGTCACCACCTTGCCGCGAGTCTTCTCCCTCTGGCTGCCCATCTCTGCCCCTCCTACCAGTCTGGATGAGTATTTCTCCTATAACTCTTTCGTTGTCTGACTTCTATACAGTTTGGTTTTGGGTTTTTAATTCTGGTTATTTTTGTTTTTAAATGTATTGTCCTTCTTTTGATTGTGCAAGGAGGCATAGTATGTCTACCTACATTGGTTGGAAGTCAGAAAACAATTTTCTGAATCCTAAAGACTAAAGTTTTGCTAACTGCATTTTTTTTATCGTCACTTAGAGCAAAAAACTTAATACCATTTCATAATGATAATGATCTTTTGGGTCAAGTGTGTTTGACAAACTTCTTGGGGTTCAAATTTTAACAGGAGGCTTTTTCTTTACCTAGAAATGGCTTTGGTTGTTCCAGCGGGCCCCTGGAACACCTTGAAGGATTTGTTTTCCCTCATTGCAAGGGAGTTTTTGAACTAATTAGCCCTATTTGATATGCTTGAATTGCAAGGGAATTTCCTTAGTAACCATGGTTAATGATTTTTTTCTCCTTTATTTATAACCTATCTTTTGCAAGCCATCTGGGAACCAGGTGTTTGAGCATAAGTGGGCCACTTTCTAAAAATAAACCCCTACTTTCTTTGCTGTAAGCTCCTGTTCTGTCATATTGGTGTTTGATGCCTGTGGGCAAATGGACTTCTTTTAGTCCTGTTAACAGTCTGTGGGTTGAAAATTGATTGGGGAACATTTTAAATTACTATATTAGATTTACCTTTGTTTTTCATTGTGAATGGTAGCTCAGATACATGAAGTAGTACTTTTGCCGGGGCACACAGGAAAAGGTCAAGGAATGGATCCCATGTTTAGAAGCCTAAGGTCAAGGAAGGTAGTGCCTAAGGCACTCCAGATACATGTTCCTCTCCTTTGAAAGGAAGGGATGCTGCACTCTCTCTGGAACCTTAGGACACAGTTTTCCTAGAAACAGAAAGCTCGCTCGGCTTTACCAGGATTGTCACAAACTCCATTACCCAGAAGACAGTGCGTAGGCTGGCACTGGGCGGTAGCTGACAGAGGTGAGGGGCCAGGACGTTTCCTGAGGTAAGGGAGCAGGTTTCCTGCGTCTACTTGTTAGGTTAGGTTAGGGTTAGGTTAGGCCGGAATTAGATAAAATTAGCAGGGAGGACAAGGCAGGCACCAGACTGTCTCAGCAAGGGAGATAGAAAAGTAAAAAAAGTACAACCCACCCGTGTATGACCTTGTCTTTGCATGGCCTTGTCTTTGCAGAAAAGTATCCATTGTAGTAAGCAGAGATGTGTGTGTGTCCTCTCAAAATAGCCAATTGCTAACAGCTAAGTCTGCTTCTGTATTTGCTTGCTTGTTTGCTCACCCCAATAAAAACCCCAGGCTGTAAGCACCAGGCGCAACTTCCATCTGCAGCCATTTTGGCACCCGTGTCTCCGGAGGCACCCCGAGAGTTCGCCCCTGCGCAGGTAAAACTTTGAAACTTTAGCCAATAAAGTTCCATCTTAAACTCCTGAAAGCTTCCGACATTTGCTCGCATCGGGGTATGTTACATACTCTTATAGAGTCCTTTGGTCGCGACTTATTTCCATAACCACTCTACCGGTTGGAATGCTGCCTGGCAGAGGTCGCTTTCTAGAAGGTCTTTGTGACTCAGCACCTACTTCCACCTTTCTGTATGAGCCTTGACCTGGCCTGAAACAGGGCAGCCCCCTGAGCGCACTCGCAGCCTGGGCACCAGCCCAGCTGTTGGTTCTCACAGCTCCCGGAGGCAGCGCCCTGGTTTTACTCCGTGGGCATTGAGATCCCAGGTCACACCGGGCCCTCTGGCGGTCCTGGCGCCGATGAGTACAGGGTTCCCAGGCCCTGGAGTCGCCGTTCACACGATTCCACCCCCCCACCCCCGTGATAGATGGAACCCCGGGACTCTGTGCCTTTCCATCTTAATGCTCTTGGAACTAGAGGTTCTGGAGGAACGGAGTGTGGGAGCGGCAGATCTAATTATTATACTTCCAACCCAGGGTTCTGAAGTTAAGTCGGAGGTTGTAAGAAGAGGCCCCATTTCTGACTGTAAATTTGAGCTTCGCAGCCCTTGGCCTCAGTTCCCTAGAGTCTGAAATTGGAATATTAACAATTGTTCTTTCTGGGTTGAGGGAACTGGATAAGGTATAGTGTGATGTGCACCCTTGAGTGCTCAGCATGCCAAGAATATTACTCTGGATGTGGTTTCTGGAAAAGAATTCCCGATTATGCTATCGTCTTAGGCTCATTACACAGAGCGTCTGACCCTCAGGTCTCCTTGCCTCTGGTCTTGACCTAGCTGAAAGCTGGGAAAGGGGATGAAAGCCCAGAGAGCAGAGATGAATTGGTAGTAGCGTTTTTGGAATTGCTGCTCCTATCATAGGAGTAAAAGTTCCCTGGATAGGCTGAAACTGTATTTATCTTGCAGATGTCATCTGTATACTACAAGTGAAGTTGGCTTGCTGCTTACAGCAGTGAATCCATTTTCCTGTTGAACACATTTACTTTGAAAGGTGAATCCATTACAATACAAATTAATGACAATGCATAGGAATGTTTAATCTCTCAAGATGTAAACTCACAACAGGCCCTGGATTACTCTGCAGCCACCTTGTTTGCTCTTATCCTAGCTCTGATCACCTTCAGGACTTACTCATTTTTACTCACCTGGCTTTCTCCCTAACTTCATTCCAAAGTCTTTCTAACATTCTCTCACTGAAGTCTTCCCTGGTTGTCATATATGTTGTTCCCCCTAATCTTTGTAGTCATTTCACTCTCTTTTGTTTTCAGATCCCTTAGGGTCATATGACTGTGTCTTGCATTTATTTAGTTTCTTGTCAGTCTTTCCCCAATGACCTCCTCTACTCTATTCGTGGCACCTAGAACAGTGCTGGACCTCTACTGGGTGCTCATTAAGACTTGACAAATGCTTAGATTAAATCTAACCGCACCCCACCTGCCAGCCATAGCTGAACCAGAGGGACCTGAATTCAAATTTGCCCCTTCTTATAGACATGTTCCTGGGCCACTTGACTGGCCACAATTAATAAACTTCCGTTTGTTAATCATGAAATGGAGACACTGAGGGTGTTCACCACATGGACTGTGGAATGATTCATGAAATTGCAAACACATCTAGCACTGACATTTTCTGGGTACTGCAGTGTTTGCTTTATGAACATTTTAATTCCCATACCCACCTGGTGAAGTGGGAACTATTCTTTACTGAGACTCGAAGAAGTAAGCACATATTGGTTCAAAAGACTAGATTTAAGCCCTGGGAATCTAGCTCCAGACCTAGAGACTTTCATTGCTTTAACATAACATCTAAAGCCCCCAGGAATTCCCAAGCTGGTGTGGCTCAGTAGATTAAGCACAGCCTTCAGACCAAAAGGTTGCTGGTTTGATTCCTGGTCAGGAAACTTGCCTGGGTTGTAGGTCAGGTCCCTAGTTGGGGGTGTGCAAAAGGAAGCAGGCTAATGTTTCCCTCACACATTGATATTTTTCTCCCTTCTCTTTTCTCTAAAAATAAATAAAACCTTTTTACAAAAAAAAAGTGGTGTTGGCTTAAAGGCCAACACACAGACCAATAAAGCTCTCAGGCAAATTGTGAAACAGGCTCAGCTGTTGCTGCTGTAATTATTATTGGAAATATTATTTTTAGCCTACTCTTTTACTATCCCAGAGCACTTCCTGTCACTTCTCACAGTCTGCCTAAGATTATTGTTTTGTGTCACTCTCCAATGGCTTTCCATTTAGGAGGCTTTTCTCCCCATACCTTTGTATTCTGTGAGTGGCACCATTTACCTTCCTCCTGAGACCAGCACAGAGGTAGAGTCTCAGGAAATACTCAGTGATTTGGGTCTTGGGTCTCTCTGAACATATTCCACTAACCAAGCAATAGTCTCTAATCTCAATAAACAGAGTAACCCACCACCTCTATTTAACTTTCTAGGCATTGATATCATTTAAAGATGTGGCCATGACCTTTACTAGGGAGGAGTGAGGACATCTGGACCTGGACCACAAGACCTTATACCAGGAGGTAATGCTGGAGACTTGTGGCCTCCTGGTCTCAGTGGGTAAGACTTCATCTCTTTCCCATGTGGTACCCACAATCTCTTTCATTTCATCCTCTTTCTCTAAACATGGCTGGTTGGGAAGAACTCAGGAACTCACTTCCCTTCTCTCCATAATCTCAGCATATTGCATAAACTTCCTCTTGCTTGGATTCCCTGTGTCTGCATCAGGGATTATTGTATAAGAATCATAATTCTTCTCAACTCATGTGTCTAGCACAAGCTGGCCTTACTCTGACATCCTTATGCCAGATTCCCATAAGAGCGAAGGTGATTGATTGAGCTTGGTTGAGTCAAATGTCCCCACATCCTAGTTAGCAGGACCTGTGGGTAACAGGAGGTCCTCCAAGAAGGACATGGATCAGACAAGAAGGTATTTGTCATCAGTGGTACTGGTACCTAAGCAGCATAATCCTAGCTAAAAGGCTTCTTTTGCCCCTGGTACCTGCACAGTTGTCCCTTATTTTCTAAGGCTCATGCCTCATTTCTCTGCTGCTACAGAAGTTAATTTTAGAGGATGCACAGATACATTTTTAAATGGAAATGATGGGCATCTGAAAAAGCTGTTTCTTCTTCTCTTTTCTTTCCTGCCTCTTGGTTGTTGTTGAGAGCATCTGGGCTTAGTGCTGCATCTTTAAGGCTCCCATGACTGTTGGCTTGTTTCCCCGTCAACAGAAAGAATAGCCACAGGGCTCACCAACTTGAGCAGGCAGTATGAGTTTGCTGGGATTACAATTATTTTGATGTTATCATATTTTATAGTATTCTTTCACTTTGCCCAAGTGAACTATTATCTTTAAAATGCTCAGAAATAAAACTGGAAAAAACAGTAAGGGCTATACATTTATTTGTAATATATAATAAATTAATAAGTCCCAACTGTTCTCACACCTAAACCCTAAATGTCCAGTTTACCCCAAACTCAGGCTGAATAAACATTAAAATGAGGCCTGAGGTCTCCCTTTTCCCAGAAGTCCAAATGGTTGCCTCTGGCAGGGCTCTGCTAGCCTTGTGTCCACATAGTCTCTCCCAGGAGGTTAGTCATCAATGCAGTAAACATAGTGTCATTTTATGACAGTTGTGATTAGTGGTTGAAAAGAGAAATATGAGGAACAGTGAAGAACTTGTGTTGGTGGAGGGACCAACACAAGCCATGTCCGTGAGGGGGCAGCGAGCTCAGTTCCTTTGCAGAGAAGAAGGAAGGTCCAATGTAGCATTCCCACTCCCTATCACTGAGCCCAGTGCCAGGCATACAGCAGATATAAGTGAACAGTTGTTTAGTGACACCTGGATGCATTTTGGCTTAGAGTATAGGATTTTCTACTCAGAGTTTCTGTGGGTCCTGGTGCCTAAGTCATTGACTTCTCTCCAGAGCCCTCTGGTTTTAAGCTTTCACTTTTGGCAAAATATGTTTGGCTCTATGTACCAGAAAATCACCTCATACTGGTTTCACCCTGAAAAAAGTGTATTACTTTGCTTAACAGGAAGCCCTGAGGTAGTGCTTGCTCCTGGTCTGGTCAATACCAACCCTGTTCTCTCTGTCTGCTTTCTCTCCTTGGTCCAGGTCATCTGGCCAGAGTCCTTGATGTGGACACAGGATGATACACCAGCATGTAGGGCAGCAGGTCTGCACATTTAGCCCTATATTCTCAACCTGGATTAAAGACTTTTTTTTTCAGAATGGGTAGCAACAGTTTTAGATTATGGGCTACTGCAGACAACTCACTATCAGTAGAAGCACTTGCCATTCAATTTATTCCAGTGTTTGCAGCCATCCTTAGGCACCAGAATCACCTGGGGAGCTTCAAAAACTAAAATACTCAATCCTTATGCCAAGAGATTTGGTTTAATTTGGTCTGTATTTGAAACCAGTGATCTCTAGGTAGTTCTGATGCATGGAAAGTTTGAATCCTGATTTAATTATGGAAAGCCTTCAGTAAGGAGGAGTCCCCTTTCTGGGGTTCATGGGTGGTTTGTTAAAAGTGTATACTCATGTATACTTGAGATTTTTCCTTTTGTCTTACTTGTGTACTCATGCCCTGTTTATTTCTACATGCACAGGGCAACTTGTTCCCAAACTAGAGCTGATCTACCTCCTAGAGCATGAGCAAGAACCATGGACAATGAAGAAAGTCCTCTCCAAAAACAACTATACAGGTAGGTGGCTGAGGGGCTGGCAGGGGCATGGCAGCCAGCAGGGAATTACTCAGCAGCAGTTTCTTTTTGTGGCCTTTCACTCGTCGTCCTAGGTTGTCCTGGGGCACTTTGAACCATGTTTCCCCTGTCTTCTCACTCCTGTCACACTCTTTGCCTTTTCTAGAGTTGAAATGTGATATATTAGGTAAAAGACATGCTCTAAATGTTTAGCCATTCACCAGCCTCATGACCCTAGGAAAGTTACATGGTCTCTGGTCTTTGGTGTACAAGTAGAGCTGAATTAATGCTACCTACCTCAAGAGATAAACTGCAAAATCTTTGTCAGGAAATTAAGAGGTCTTTTCTCATCATGTTGTATTTAATGTGGGTTAGCAGGGAAACTTTGTACCACATGATTATCCAGAGATCCAGGTGCATTCTCTTGTCAATATGTGGCTTTAAGGTTGCCAAGTACTGAATAGGAGAGAAGAGGAGTAGTCATATTTTTGCACATATTCAGCTACATGCACACACACACATCACTTCTGTTTACATCCATTGGCCAGGACTGGTCATTAAAGATACATGTTGTTGTATCAAGCTGGGAAATGTGGTTTAGCTTCATAACCAAGGAGAAGAAGACATGGGTATGATGAACATACACTCAGTTTGCTAAATTTAGCCTGCATTTGAAAAATATAGTAATAATAGTTTCTGCATCATTAGATTATTTGGGAATATAATTAGACAACATGAAACTGCTTACTAGCTCACTGCCCAACTCAAAGTAAACAGCTCAATAACAGTTACCTATTAGTAATATTTATGTTATTAGCCATAAAGAATTGTGATATCTCAAACTTTCTGGATTCAGAAAATAGTGCTTTTTTGCTATTACTACCTCCAATTATACTGTGCATCCCACTCTGCCATCTCTCCATCCAATAATTTATTTACCTATATATTCATACATCCATTCTTTCACTTAACGAATTAGATATTCAGGAGGAGTCCTTAGTCTTGTTATTTTCTTGCACTTCCGTCTTGTAAAACATCAAGGAGGCTTTTGCCCTTGTCAGTCCCACATCTGGGCTACTGAGGGCAGCTGGAGCCATCAAGTGTGTGGGTCAGCACCAAGGCAGATTCACGATCTCTCTCCTCTAGTGTTCCTACAGTCTGCTCAGCCAGCCAGTGAGGTGCCTCTGGCCAGCCCCTTCTCAGCCCCTCAGGGTCTGAGAGATCCAGCCCCTCAGGGTCCCAAACCTTCATCCCTCTTCTTAATTCCACATCTTCACTTGAATGTTTCAAATGTGGGGTGTGGGGGTTGGGGTGAAATGGGGATATCTTTAATAGTGTCAACAATAAAACATTTTTCAAAAAGCACCCCACATCTATCATAATCTTACCCATTCCTCCTACCTTCCCATTTTGAATTAATCGCTTTGCTGTTCAGTAAATTGAGAAAGCCAATAACAAATTTGAACAACCTCTTAACATTTCCATCTTCATCATATCCAATATTCAGTCATCCCCAAATCTCAATCATATTTCATCATACATATTTTCACCAATCAGTTCCAGTCAGTTCCAGTCTTAGCACTCCAGGCTATCATCATCTCCTGCCTGAATAATCCTAACAAATTCATAACTGGTCTCCCCATATCTGCTCTTTGCTTCTCATCATCTCTGTTTTACACACACTTCCCCACCCACTCATACTTTGTTCCAAATGCCACCATCTCCCCAGTCACTGAGATATCAACATATGACATGCTTCTGTTGAAAGTAAGGGCTATGCACTTGTATTTCTTGCTCTTTAAACCTCACTGACACATCCCTAAAGCTTCCTTCTGACCTCTGAGTAGGAATTCTTAATCCCAGCCAAGGCTTATTCCAGTAGAATTTTGATCACAACTTCACCTGCCTTCTCAGGTGTGTTAGTTATTTATTGCTATGTAGCAATATTACCACGAACATAGCAACTTAAAATATCACTCATTCATTATCTCTCATTTGTGCATCAGAAGTTCAGGAACAGCTTAGTAGGCCCTCTGCAATCATTAACAGTGCATAATATGCCAGCTTATTTGTTCAAATCAAATAATGGTGTGAGATACTCCCACATGAGGAATACCACACATATACTTCATCTTCTACATTCTGTCACCTTAGCCATATTCAATTTTTGTGAAGCAAATCAAGGTCCTGCCAGCATTCAGGCAGAGAGGATCATAAAAATGTGTGAACCCTGCCAAGCAGGGGACAGGCTTCTTCACTTACTTTCTGTCTCCTCTGTTGTTTTTTAGTGCTTTTTAATGTAATTAAAAAAAATTTTTTTCAGATACAGTTTACATTTGCTATTATTTTGTATTAGCTTGAGGTATACAGAATAGTGGTTAGACAATCCTATACTGTACAAAGTGTTTCCCCCAATATTTCCAGTACTCACTTGGCACCAAACGTAGTTATTACATTATTATTAACCATATTCCCTATGCTGTACTTTACATCCCCATGACTATTTGTAATAACCAATTTGTATTTCTTTTTTTTTAAAGATTTTATTTATTTGTCTTTAGAGGGGGAGGGAAGGAGAGAGGGAGAGAAATATCATTGTATGGTTGCCTCTCATGCTTCCCCTGCTAGAAACTGGCCCACAACCCAGGCATGTGCCCTGACTGGGAATCAAACTGTGATCGTTTGGTTCTCAGGCCCATGCTCAATCCACTGAGCCACACCAGCCAGGGCTAATTTGTATTTCTTAATCCCTTAACCTTTTTCACCCAGTTCCCAGTCTCCCTTCCCCTCTGGCAACCGTCAGTCCATTCTCTGTATCTATGAGTCTGTTTCTATTTTGCTTGTTCATTTATATTGTTTTTAAATTCTAATTAGTGAAATCATATGGTATTTGTCTTTCACTGACTAACTTATTTCACTTAGCATATTACCCTCTATATGGTTTTGGAATTTGTGTAATACTGGCCTTGTAAAATGAGCTTGAGAGTCTTCCCCCCTCTTGAATTTTTTGCAATAGCTTGAGGATTGGTGTTAGTTGTTCTTTGAATGTTTACTGAAATTTACCTGTGAAGCTATCTGGTCCAGGACTATTGTCCATTGGTAGTTTTTTTTTTTTATTACAGTTTCAATTTCCTTAGTTGTAATTGGTCTATTTAGGTTTTCTGTTTCTTCTTGATTCAGTTTTGGAAGATTGTATATTTCTGGGTATTTATCCATTTCTTCCAGGTTGTCCAATTTCTTGACATAAGTAGGTGTTCATTATAATTCTTTGTTTTTTCTTGTGGTGTCACTTGTTACTTTTCATCTTTTTTTTTTACCCAATTTTATATTTGGGTCCTTTCTCTCTCTCTCTCACTCTTCTTTCTTTCTTTTCTTTATTTTTGATGAGTTTGGTTAAAGGTGTATCACTCTTGTTTACCTTTTCAAAGAAAAAGTCCTTGGTTTCATTGATTTTTCGTACCATTTTTTAGACTTTATTTCACTTATTTCTGCTCTTATCTTTATTATTTCCTTTCTTCTACTCACTTTAGGCCATGCTGTTGTTCTTTTTTCTAGTTTCTTTAGATGTAAGGTTATATAGTTTATTTGAGATTTTTTTTTTGTCTTGAGGCAGGCCTGTAATACTATGAATTTCCCTCTTAGGACTGCTTTTATTGTGTCCTATAGATTTTAGTTTGTTGTGTTTTCTCTTTTTAATATTTTATTTATTTATCTTTAGAGGGGAAGGGAAGGAAAGAACTATCAATGTATGGTTGCCTCTCATGCATCCCATGCTGGGAACTGGCCTGCAACCCAGGCATGTGCCCTGAATAGGAATTAAACCGCGATACTTTGGTTCCCAGGCCCGTGCTCAATCCACTGAGCTACACCAGCCAGGGCTGTTGTGTTTTCATTTTCATTTGTTTCAGGGTATCTTTTGATTTATTTGTTGATCTCATTGTTGATTCATTCATTGTTTACTAACATATTATTTAGCCTCCATGGGGTTTTGTATTTAAATTTTCTTCCTTGGGATTTTAGTTTTATATCATTGTGATTGACAAAGATTCTTGATACTATTTCAATCTTAAATTTATTGAGACTTAGTTTGTGTCCTAACATTTGGTCTATTCTAGAAAATGTTCCATATGCACTTGAAAAGAATGTATATTCTGCTGGTTTGGGTTGAAATGGTCTCAAAATTTCATGCATGTAGTCTAGTGTGTCATTTAAGGCTGCCATTTTCTTGTCGATATTCTGTCTGGAAGATTTATCCACTGAAGTCAATGGGGTGTTAAAACCCCCTACTGTGACTTTATTGCTGTCAATCCCTCCCTTTATATCCACCAGAATTTGCTTTATACATATAGGTGCTCCTATGTTGGGTGCATACATGTTTGTAAGGGTCATAGCCTCTTGTTGGATTGATCCCTTTATCATTATGTAATGTCCTTTGTTTCCTATTATAGCCTTTGTTTTAAAGTCTGTTTTGCCTAATATAAGTATTGCTACCCCAGCTGTTTTAAGTTTCCATTTCAATGAAATATCTTTTTCCATCTCTTTACTTTCACTTTTTTTATGTATTCCATTCAGAGATGGGTCTCTTGTAGATAGCATATATGTGGCTCTTTTTTGTTGTTCATTCTGTTACCCTATATTTTTTAATTGGAACATTTAACCCTTTTACATTTAAAGTGATTATTGATAGATACATATTTATTGCCATTTATTCTCTATAATTTTGTGGGTTTTTCCCCTCTTAAAAGAAGTCCCTTTAGCATTTCTTGTAATAGTGGTTTGGTGGTAATGAATTTCTTTAGCTTTTTCTTTTCTGGGAAGCTCTTTATTTCTCATTCAATTTTCCAATGATAACACTACTGGAAAGAGTAGTCTTATTTGTAGGTCCTTGCTTTTCATCACTTTGAATATTTTATGCCAATCTCCTCTGACCTGAATTGTTTCTGTTGAGAAATCAGCTGACAGTCTTAGGGGAACTCCCTTGTAGTTAATTAACT